GAAATGAAGGTAAAATTAAATTAAAAATAACTATTAAATGAAAAACTAACATTTCAAAAATGTAAATGAAAATGAGAAATTTCGCCCTAGCAACTAATTCAATAAATTAAAGCACTTAAGTAACTAAAACCAAAAACCAAAAATAATTCAAGTTAAAAATAAATATTTAAAATGGTTATTTTAGTATTATTGAGATATTACTATAGTTTTTATTAATATTTTGAATCAGGTTTTATTTATATATTTTCCATTTTATTTTAATTTTAGTCAAATTTTTATGTTTTTGTCATTTTCAGTGGGGTTATTTATGTCTATACAGTTTTGTTCATTTTTATTTTTTTTTAGTCCATCACATTAAAATGAGAAATGTTGCTTTGCCAACTTGCATAAAAAATAGTTATAATTTTATTTTATTTCATTTCAATTCAGTTAATGTTTATTTTATTTTATTTTTTATTTTATTTCATTTCAGTTGATGTTTATTGAGCTTTGGCAACTTGATTAAAAAAATTTGTTATAATTTTATTTTATTTTTAATTTTATTTCATGTCAGTTGATGTTTATCGAGCGTACGCACCGTTTTATACTTGACGATGTACTCCACGATGGGCATCCCGCCGTCGTCTTGTCTGATCAGTCCGAGTCTGTAGGCCTTCCCAACACCTCTCTGACCGTGAACCGTCGGAGGACTCGGCTCGCCTGAAGAAACGAGACCATCAGACACGACTCAAGATCTCACAGACACGTCACACTATAATCTAAGATTCACAGCAGGAGCGGGAACACTGAAATCTGAAGAACATGACTGTACAGTAGAGAAAGGTCTCATTGTGCTTGCTGTCAAACACACAGTGACGGGAATGACGCGAGCCAAACCAAAGAGTCTGAGAAGAGATGATGCAACCCCTCAGAGGACCTCAGATGATGCCAACCCTGAAACAACATACACAACTACCACGTGTTGCTATAAGTTTGATTGCATCATATAATAATTGCTGTTAATAGTGTTCATCGTCTGTTTGATTACGTCTTTAATCGATTTCTGCCATATGTACTGTACATTAACTGACAGTCACCACTGATAAGCTACCACTAAATATATTATAGAAACTTAATTTTCTGTAAAGTTGCTTTGCAACAATTTGTATCGTGAAAAGCGCTGTACAAATAAACTTGAAGTTTAAATACACAACCAGTCAAAAGTTTTTGAACAGTATGATTTTTAATGTTTTGGAAAAGTCTCTTCTGCACTTTTTACTACAGTATATAAAATAACTCTTTTCTAAGTTAATATGTGTTAAGCTGTAATGTATTTCTGTGATGCGCAGCTGTATTTTCAGTCTTCAGTGTCACATGATCTTCAGAAATCAGTATAATATGCTGATCTGCTGCTCGAGAAACATTTCTGATTATTATTATTATTATTATGCTGAAAACAGCTGAGTAGATTTTTTTCAGGTTTCTTGAATGTATAGAAAGTTCAGAAGAACAGCATTTATTTAAAATATAAATATTTTGTAACATTATAGATTATTGCTAAATAAAGCTTTTGAATGGAATAGTGTGTATACTGTTACAAAAGCTTTTCATTTCAGATAAATGCTGATCTTTGGATCTTTCTATACATCAAAGAATCCTGAAAAAAAGTACTCAACATTGATAATAATCAGAAATGCTTCTTAAATCAGCATATTATACTGATTTCTGAAGATCATGTGACACTGAAGACTAGAGTAATGATGCTGAAAATACAGCTTTGACATTTAAAAATATATTCAAATAGAAAACAGTTATTTTAAGTAGCTAAAAGTGTTTTTGCTTGTATCAAATAAATGCAGGCTTGCTGAGCAGAAGACACTTCTTTAAAAACATTAAAATTCTGACTGTTCAGAAACGTTGCTGAAAGGTACCGGAGAGGCGAGAGATGGAGAAAGACTCACGGATGGGTAACGTCTGGAAGATTTCCGTGTGGCTGAAATCCCCCTGACCCTTTCCGTTGACCGCCGCCACACGCAGCTCATACGTCGTGTTGGGCTCCAGGTGAGCCAGAACCACTGTGAGACACCGGAGAGAGAGAGAGAGAGAGAGAGAGAGAGAGAGAGAGAGAGAGAGAGAGCGAGAGAGAGAGAGAGAGAGAGATGATGCGATAAGTTTAACAAATCAGTGATGCGCCCACACACACACACACACACACACACACAATGAATATACATACATGTTTTTGTTGCATATATATGTGTTCTAGATTCAGTGTAAACACTATGCTTTGGCAATACATTGTAACAATTGTCATGCCAATAAAGCACGAATTGAATTGAATTGAATTGAGAGAGAGAGAGAGAGAGAGAGAGAATGAACTCCCTTATATTTGAGCTGCTTCTAAGTAAGCAATAAGGTACTCGGAGGCCGTGCTGTATGAATGCATGTATTGAAATGTTACTTTTTTGAAGCAAGTTCGTTAAATGCTGTCCTTTCGCTAAAAAACATGTTCCTGACAGCAACAGTAAACGCAAGAGAATGTTCCGAACATGCCTCATCTAATGGAGCTTAAATAACAACAGAGAATAGAATAGAGTAATATTTTTTAACACCATATATGATATGTGTCACAAGTCGCTGGGGTATATTTGTAGATACACTGTATAAAATAAGTGTAATTTTAACTGTAACATTTTGTAAAAACGCTACGGAATAAAAACTGTTAATAGGTTAACAGTAAGTCCCCGTACTATATACAGGGAAAAACTGTAAAATATCTAACCAGACATTTCATGTAATTTTACAGTAAAATGCTGTTAATTTTACAGTTTTTAGAAGTAAAAATAACAGATCAATGTATAATTTACAGTCAAAAACTGTAAACTGATATTCCCAGAATTCCCTGCATGACACTCCACATTTGAAAGTATTTTGTTTAAATAATCATGTTTTTAAATAGTTGTTGTTATTAGTTATGTATATTTGGGCTTTATGTTACATCTTCTGTTGTTTAATGAAAGTGTAATGCATTATTTAAGTAACTGTAAAAAATAAGTGTAATTTTAACTGTAACATTTTGTAAAAACGCTACGGAATAAAAACTGTTAATAGGTTAACAGTAAGTCCCCGTACTATATACAGGGAAAAACTGTAAAATATCTAACCAGACATTTCATGTAATTTTACAGTAAATTTCTCACACACCTCTCAGCATGAGAAAACGTCTGTTTTCCGTCTTCTAGTTTTAAAACAGATGGATTTGCGGCGCAAGCACGAGTTTGCAAGCGTCATTACAGTGTAAACTGATGGACATACAGAATCATACCCGAAACAGAAAGCTAATAAATACAGTAATATCCCTCCTCACTTCGGAAACTGTGGGCTTCCACACTTACGTGCGCCGCACACACATCAACATATCTCTGCATGAGAAGCGTTTATTAGACGGGAAAGGGTGGTTTTGCTCAGCGATACACAGAACCGTTGGGTGAAGCGGTCATAGCTGTGCTGTATCGTGAATAAAACACAGCTGCTGACCAATCAGAATCCAGGAATGGAACTAACCGTTTTATAAATGCTAATACGAGTCACATACAGCGGTGGCCAAAATGATCAGAACACTAGTATTCCCAGCAGCTAAAAATGGTTTTAAGTCAGTTATTTCTATCGTTTGCTGTAGTGTGTCAGTAGGAAATATCAGGTTACATTTCCAAACATTCATTTTGCCTTTAACTGTAATAATGCAGTTAGATTTTTGTTTGCTGCACACAGAGATCTGATCTGATCATCATCAAAAACAACACCTAATAAACACAGTGTTCTTCCACCAAACAATGTAGCTCCTCAGAAACAGTTGTGGTTGCTACAAAGTGGTTGCCGAGCAACACACAAACGTAAACAAAGCTGTGTGTTACTTTGTAGCGTCATTTACAACAGCTTCGAACGCGGCTCAGCCAATCAGAACCAAGCACCGGAACTCTCCGCTTTATAAATAAAAATAAAAGCTGATTCAGAATATTAATACTTGAATTAACACTTTAATATTATTTAACATAATATTTACAGTAATTACTAGATGTAAAATGTGAGGTTATTTTCAATTTTAGAGATTTATCTTGCATTTTTCATTTATGAATTTATTCATTATTGAATATTGTTAACTAAAACTATGAAAAATTGTTTTCGTTCATTGACGTTAAGCTAAAATATGAATATTAGATGAAAAGATTAAAGTAAAAAAAAAACACTGAAAAGAACATTTGAAATACTGCCTGAAATTAAATCATTTTAAAACCGAAAAAAAAAAACTATAGCTAATGTGAAAACATTGTTTTCATTTACTGAACTTAAACTGAAATAAAATTAAATATAAATATCAGACGAAAAAGATTAGAAATATTTAATACGCAACAAGCAGAAATTAAATAAGTTTAGACTACAGCACACAAATTATTCAAACGAAAAGAAACGAAAGCTAAATAGAAATATCACCATTCATTCAATCATTCAATATGTCTACCACTGAATATGTATTTTACATTAACGCACCACTTTAGCAAATCTAAGACCTTGGCCAGTGATTGCACTCATTCATTTCCACGAGAAAGCACTAATAAAAATGAAGCGGCGCTTGTTGTACTTAGTCAAAGAACATTGAGTTCTTAATTAAAAATCCACAAAGAGTATGCGGATGTAATTGAAGCAATTATGCTCTAAATTTGAGTTTGAGACCATAACGAGGACGTTTGTAGACCGACGTCTCATTGAATTTCTCGTTGCTCTGATCTTGAACTCATTGTTTTGCATTTTCTGCGATGCATGAAGCTCTGCGGGACTGAGACACGGAGTTGAGGAATATAACTACGCGCACTTGAAAGTTGTTTATTTGTTATTACTGTTTTACCTCACACTTGGCACAATAAGCATTATTTAAAGGCTTAATGCAAAGAAAATTCTTGGCAGAAAGTAAAGCAGTTTAATGAACAAACAGCTTGAAGTCATTATCGCTGCTGCAAGCGCAAATGTGTTTAGATGCTCCAAACGTAAATGACTGTCGACATCCTGGTCCTGCAAAAACACTGGCTTTGAGAAGAGATAATGGCTTTTAGGAAATATATAAGACGTGTAAACATGCACTTCTTTTGGCTAAATGCTGATTTTAGTTGCAAAGCTTTGCACTTTTGCTCTGAGGATAGACACAGCTCACACGAGATCTGTTTAATATATATATGTTTCAGTTTCTTGTGTCCTAAATTCTATTCTGAATCACATAAATGCTATTTAGAAACATTTTCTAAATGAAAGCAAGCATCATATTTACAGTAAATACTGAAGTAAGTTTAAACTTAAGTACTAAAATGACTAAAACTGAAATAAAAATAAATGAAAGCTAAAATTGTTTTTTTATAAAACAGTAACAAAATGGCAAAAGCGCATGTTAAAAATTACTAAAATTTCAAATGTCAAAATTCATGCTAGTTTATGTAGGTTAATTCCAATGCTATTGTTAATTAAAACTAAAACTAATTTTAAAAGTTTGTTGATTGAAATCTGAAATGAAGCTGAAATTAAATAAAATGTATATTACATGAACAGCTTAACCTTAAAAAAAAAAATTATAATAATAATTAAAATAAGTTGAAATAAGTGCACTAAAATGACTGAAACTGAAATAAAATAAATTAAAGCTAAACAAACAGAAATATAAAATAATAAATAATGACAAAAGCATGAAACAAATGACTTGAACCTAAGCTAAAATGAAAATGAAAATATAAAATTATAAGCTGAAATAAGCTAAATATTAATTAAATAATAAATGAAAACAAAAACGATAAATATTGCCTTGGCAACTAACCAAAATGAAGAACGTTTCAGCTCTAAATGCCTAAAACTGAAATAAAAATAAATTAAACAGAAACAGAATATATATATATGACAAAAGCACATACAAATTACTTTCATTTACTTTACCTACAGTTAATATAAAATGAAAAGTTGACATACAAATGATGAAAAACACAAGCCATTTATCATAAAGAAGCTGTCAATATTAGCAATAACACATAATGTCAGCAGTTTAATGTCTATTGAAAAGTCCAAGTTTTATGTGAGTTAGTGCTAGTGCTATTTTCAACAAAAATGGAACTTATTAAAAATAGTTTGAAATAAAATTAAGAATAAAATAATGAAATAATTAAAAATAATATGTGAAAAATTACACTTAACTGGAATGAAATAAGTTTAAACTTAAGTACTAAAATAACTAAAACTGAAATAAAAAATAAATTGAAGCTAAATAGAAATATTTTCCAAAAACAATAAAATGACAAAAGCACATTGCAAAAATAACTACAGTTCATGGAAAACATAGAATTAAATTATTTCGAAATACTTTAATAGTATGTGAATAGTATATTTATATACAAAAGCAGTGTTAAGTCGCTGGGGTATATTTGTAGCAATAGCTAAATACTTTAATAGTATGTGAATAGTATATTTATATACAAAAGCAGTGTTAAGTCGCTGGGGGATATTTGTAGCAATAGCCAACAATACATTGTATGGGTCACAATTATACATTTCTCTTTTATGCCAAAAATCATTAGGATATTAAGTAAAGATCATGTTCCATGAAGATATTTAGTAAATCTCCTACCGTAAATATATCAAAACTTAATGTTTGCTTAGTAATATGCATTGCTAAGAACTTCATTTGAACAACTTTAAAGATGATTTTCTCAATATTTAGATTTTTTTGCACCCTCAGATTCCAGATTTTCAAATAGTTGCATCTCGGCCAAATATTGTCCTCTCCTAACAAACCATGCATCAATGGAAAGATTATTTATTCAGCTTTCAGCTGATGCATAAATCTCAATTTCAGAAAATTGACACTTATGACTGGTTTTGTGCTCCAGGGTCACACATGAACAGGATAGTAACAGTAAGTATAAATGTAATAGTGAGTGTGATCGTGGCTCACTCTGAACTGCGTGTGATCTGACTGTCCTCCAGTCCTGTGCGCTCGTGTCTCTGTAGCTGATGGTGTAGTAGCTGATGGGGACGCCGCCGTGAGAGTCGGGCTTCATGAAGGAGACGGTGGCGAGACGCTGGGAGACGGCGGAGAGCCGAACGGAGTACGGGTGCGACGGGACGTCTGTGAAGAAACACAAACACGATGATGATGCTTTTGAATAAACATGAAGGAATATTTGCTTGAGAAGCAACACTGAACACTGGGTGAAGGTCACATTTCAACTCAAAATCCAACATTTGAGTGCTTAACACGCTAAGAAAGTCGGTGTTTGCACTAGAGTTTTATTCTGAACATTGTCTGCACCTTCAGCTGAGAGGTTTATCTGTATTATAGATGGAAAGTGTGCCGCGAAATAAAGAGTCCGACAGGTTTTTCATCCTGTGATAAAGCGCAGATGCGAAATAAACAGATGACAGAGCATCAGATAAACTGCGGACTGGAGAAACTCAAGATGCATCATCATTTGCGCTGCTGCCGTGTTAGTGAGTGACGAGAGTGAAGAGCCATCGCTCAACAGGAAGCAGGCCGCAGCTCAACTTCCTGCTGAAGAAGAATCACTCGGATCATGAAAGACATTCGTCAGTGTAAGAGCAAACGCTTCAAACTCTGCTGTAAGGCCATTTCTGTCACATTTAAAGTGTGTGTTTAATCTACAAAATGAAACTCTTAAAATATACTAGTGCTGTCAAACGATTAATCGCGATTAATTGCATCCAAAATTAACGTTTTTGTTTACATATTATATGTGTACTGTGTATATTTAATACATATATATATATATATATATAAATACACACACATGCATGTATATATTTAAGAAAAATATGTTACGTTTATATATTAAATACTGTATATTTATATATGATATAATTTATATGAATGCAACTATATACTTGTAAATATTTTCAAAATGTATGCTGTATGTGTCTTTATATATACATAATACATGCACACAGTACACATACACACACATATAGTATGTAAACAAAAACTATTTTGGATGCGATTAATCGCTTGACGGCACTAAAATATACACTACTGCTCAAAAATATTTTCTGCTCACCGAGGCTGCATTTATGTGATCATAAATACAGTAAAAATAGTGAAATATTCTTTCAATTTAAAACAGCTGTGTTCTATGTGAATCTGTGTTAAACTGTAATGTATTTCTGTGATGCTCAGCTGTATTTTCAGCATCATTCCTCCAGTCTTCAGTGTCACATGATCTTCAGAAATCAGTATAATATGCTGATTTAAGAAGCATTTCTGATTATTATCAATGTTGAAAACAGTCGTGCTGCACAATATTTTTGTGGAAACCGTGACACATTTTATTTTTCAGGATTCACAGATGAATAGAAAGTTCAAAAGAACAGCATTTATTTGAAATAAAAATATTTTGTAACATTGTAACAAATAAATTACATTTTGACATATATTCACATAGAAAACACGACATTTTAAAAATATTTCAAAATTTTTACTGTATTTTTGTTTAAATAAATGCAGCCTTGATGACCAGAAGAGACTTCCTTCAGTAACATTAAAAACATGTTTTGGAAATGTAGTCTTTACCCACTGAAATATGCAAGTTATTCATCACTGGATTAAATATGCACGCATTTGCATATTAGCATATATAAAAAGTGACACAGACCTGAAAGAAAACATCCTAACTGTTATGTGATCAACAACTCTGCGGTTGGTAACTTGGCAGCATTTTGTTTATTTAACAAAATATATAATAAAACACTCTGTGCATGTAAATGGAGATGTTTTGCCCTTTTTAAGATGAAAAGGCCCACAAAATGTCAAAGATAAATGAATTTCAAAAACTCCCCAGCAATTAACAGAAATATCACATTTGAAGCAATGGATAAAAGTAGAGATATTTCGTTTGCTACACGAGCAAAATGTCACTTTCAGAAAATGGCATTTAAAATATATAAAAGAGGTATAAAATAGATATCTAAAAACATTTTAAAATCTTTTTTAATATGTGTCTTTAATAGTTGCACCCTATACCTTCTGGATTGAATGTTATTTTATGTCTTGAATGCAGGATTTATGTGCATGTGTCTGCACGTATGTTTTTGAGTGAGTGTGTGTGTGTGTGTGTGTGTGTGTGTGCGCGAGTGTGTG